CTTTGCTTCCAAGATTAAACTTAAGAGGCGCACGTTGAAAGCGACTTAAATAACGTTTCATGTAATCGATTTCATGCGCAATTCGCGATCACCAACTTTAAAGCTGCGCCTTGAGATAAACCCGACGGACATAATCCTGTTTGTTTGAGAGGATGAGATGAGGTTTCTGGACCAATTAAAGAACAAAGACGAGACAAACTAATGTCATCCCAGATTACTTTCAAAACTCGACTTTGAACTCACAGTTCAAAATCTACCTCTCTTACCTGATAGTGTTCCTGCGCATATCAAAGGATTTCAGCTGCATTGCTTGCCTCAGTACACTTACCCAGTCGTTGAACAACTCAGGTGTTGGAGCGGACTGAAAGAGCAAGAAACCTTAAATCGAAAAATAACCCTCAGCAGATCATGGCTTCTGGCTGGCTTAACACTTAACCTCTCCTTAAACGTTTACTCTTATCATAATTTACAATGTTAAAAAAAAAAGGAGTTTTAAGTGGTTATTACTTGCATTTACGACCTTTCACATGATGAAGTAGGCGAGTTTACGCGACATTTATCCGGAAATGTGATTGTGGTTTATCGAGTAAAGGGCTGTTGTCTGATAAATGTACACATTGCGTTTACAAATACGCCTGCAGTTGTACCTAAACTTGACCGCGATATGGAGAAGCAAATTCAAGGGACAACAAAACACTTCATTTGCACATAACGAGTAAGGTAACACAAGCATTGCGCGTTAGTTTTTTGCTTTCTTGCGCACATGGCACTATTTGATTGCCTTACAGCAGAGTTCAAATGGGGGCAGACAAGACGGCTTCAACCCTTTCACACCCTAACATCAGTATGCATATTCTCCATACTGTTCTCTATACATTTCCTAAGGTGCTGACAAGGAGAATTTGTTTAACAATCAAGAGCTTCTTTAGGTGATGATCATTTCCATTATACTTTGGACCTTAATGTTTGATTCAAGGGTGATATTGTAAGGAGAAATTAGATGCTGGTCACCCTTAAGGTTCAAAGGAAAATTGGCATTTGCTACATCTGTACAGCAAAAGTAAAGGCACAAGATATGAAGGCATACGGCCACTCCACGAAATTTCCATCGTGCAGTTGAAGGCGATCAGACAGACGATACAAGCACACCTGAGGGCATGATACTCTAGAGGGGTGACATCGTCAATTGGCAAAATAGTTGCTGCTGCAGCAAGCTCTGGGGGAGGGAGGGGTGGATAAGGAAGCCTGGGAGCAGTAGCCTACATGTAGCTGTACCCTCCCCCCCTGCCAAGGTGAAACAGAGGCGAGTTTTACCTTAGAGGGGGGGTAAGGCTACACGTAGACCAAGGGGCAGAGGAGGAGAGATTTTCACTTAAGTATATTATTGAGGTGAATGGCATGACATTTCAGCAGTACTTACAAATGTGTATGTCCTGCTCTTGGTGATAATCTGAAAGCCATTGTGGACTATCTTTACTGGGTTAACTGCCTTGACCTAATGATAACAGATGTAAGATAAATTAATTATACTTGTATTTAGATAACTCTTAATTTGGCCAAAAACTGTCATTAAGTATGTCACGTGATATAGCACTTTCCTTATTAACCTATTACAATGGTTATCCCAGAAATGGAGGTGAATTGTGAAGGAATGATTTTTTCCACAGTAATACATCAAATCAAAATGAAATTTTAGTGTTATGAATAAATCAAGGAATTGATTGATTGACGTTGTAGAAATAGAGTTTTAGTTATATTGTAGTATCTGTCTTCTGTTATATCACATGTGTACTTCCAACATGATCTTCCCCAGTTGATAAAAAAATATTACCTGGCCAAAATCAATGGTTCCAAGGTAATTTTCTTCCTGTAAAAAGAAAAGGATTCATAAATTCTAAATATCCATATTCATCACTGACTGTTTAATGAACATGACTGACAAGTAGCTCAAAAGAAAGTCTTGATCTATGGTATTTTATAAAAGGCATACATGTCTATCTAGTAAACAGAATTCTGTTGCAAAATTCAATCTTGCTCCCTTTATCTTACTGTTTTCTCAGCAGCTTTGTAATATTTCAACTCCTGCCCATCTAGTGTGAACCATCTCTTTCTAAAGCCCTAAAAATATTGTGGCACAAAATATAATAATTACTAAACCAAATCATCATTCATTTAATTTCACCAACATAAAACTTGCATGTGGTATACCAATGTACATGTAGAACAAGAATAATGATAAATTTACCATGTTTTTTAATATACTTGAACTCATAAAACTTTACCCTTTTGACCCTAAAAGTGACTAGCATTTAATTTCTTCTTACAGTATCAACCCCAAATCACTGCATTGAGGTCTGGAGAATAGAGGAAATGATCATCAACTAAAAAAAGCTCTTGATTGTTCCACAAATTCTCCTTGTCAGTACTTTGGGAAATATATAGAAAACACTATTAGGAATATATACTGATGTTACGATGTAAAGCTTAAAACAATGCTGATCCTACCCATATGCAAACTTTAAAGCCACATGAGTCAAATTATATTTTAAGATTTTTTTTTTAAATGAAGAGAGAAACCCATGAGAGTACTGTAGGTTAGAACCACCAAAAAAACTCACATAGGGCATCTGTTTTACTGAGGCACAGTTTCAGGGGTGGGAGCCCAGCTCTCTGCTCCACCAGAAAGCAATCCCCTGCCCCCATAATGCATAACAAACCACAGAATGAGGCTGTTTAACCCCTTAACTCCCAAGAGCTAATTATTGATTCACCCCTCTGGCTGCTTCATTTCCGAGTAAATAAGTTGCAAGAATTTTGTTTTTAGATCAAGATGACACCTTCTACCTGATAAGCTTGAGTTTTCTCATTACCTGTTTGCTAGATAATGTGGAAATATTATAGGGAGAAGTAACATTTTAAATTCAATTCTGGGAATTTAAAGGGTTGAGATACATTTATGTACAATACAAGACTGAAACATTTTGCATACTGCACAAGTAACTTATGATTTAGAAGGTTCCACAGTGATCACAGCACAGAACTAATTGTGGGGTACACTGTACTTCTGGCCAAAATTCAATGAAACAAAGGCACCTACAAGGATCCTATTATTTAAGTGAAACATACCTGTGGGGTGCAAAATGGACTATTTACCTTTGAGTTATAGTTGTAACACATAGGAAAAATAAAATATGCATTTCCCCCACAAAGGAATAGCCAATATTGAAAACTTAATGAGGGTTGACTCATCTCTACAAACCATAAGGCTATCATTAGCACACGCACTCCTGGAAACAAGACAAATTTCCCACTCACCCAATCTAGAAAGGATGTTACTCAGGAAAATATGACACATTCAAAGTACAAGCAGTGTAATCCACTTTCCTTCCCTTCTTTATCACCTATTTCACGGCAACATCTCCCCACAAACTGACAGTTGCATAAATGATGAGGATAATACTTTCTTTCTATCTACTTATTTCTTATTTCCTTCTGCACAGGAGCCCAACAGGAGATTAAATTTTCTGTATCCAGGAGACTCTCCAAGATAATCCACCAGGAGAGTTACAGTAGAATGTATCCATGGTTACTCAGCTAGCAGTGAGTACTTAGCTGGTGGCAAGTCTGGTTTTACAAACCCTCTTCATCCTAACATCAGTATGCAAATTCTCCATACAATTCTCTTCACATTACATGAGATACTAACTAGGAGAATTTGTTTAACAAACTTCCAAGAGCTTCTTTAGTCAATGTTCATTTTGTTTATTCTTTCAACCCTTATGTTTGATTCAGGGGTGAAACTGTAAGGAGAAATTAGATGCTAGTCACTTTTAAGGGTTAAAGCATCTTAACTATACCTGAGCTCGATTGTTGCCATTTTAGCATTATCCTATTTTGATATCATTACTCTCAAGAGAAGAAAGGATTAATCGGTGGTTATCACACTTGCTTTCATGGTAACCAATTACAAACGGAGGTGTTATTTTACAGAAATGTTCGCTTTAGCATTCCTGGTTGTAATAATTCTCACACATACGACTCGAGTCTATTTTACCAAAAGTTGCACAGAAACATCAAAGATCGATATCACTGAGGGGGCCAGATTGATTATGAAACTGAGCGGAAGTCAACAGCACGCTTATGTTAGTGTGATTCAAATAGCTCTCTTTAATCAGTAGTTTTTCTTTTCTTTTTTGACGAAGAAATCTCAAGAAGGATAAGCAAATGAACCAGAAACTTAGTCAATGTCCTTTTCAGCCAAGCGCTGAATTCAAAACTGCTTCAACCAACTTTCGTTTTCGACGGAAACCTAAAACTAATGGGTACTATTCAATCCTTTTGGAAGTCAAGTGAGTGTGATAATTGTGAATAAATGAGAATTATTACTGGTGAAAGATATAAAAGTGTTTTAGAGGCGTGATGAACAGATAAACAACAGCGACCTCCCGCTGAAATTTCACAATTTCCTTGTTGGCTGAGCTTTCCTACATCAGAGTAAGCTTACATGTAAATCAAGCTAATCTAACCAAGATCTCGAACACTGTTTTCGTTAGGAAAATCGCCTTCCTCTTTTCTTTTATATCGTAATCATGTTTCATAACGCTTAACATCATAGTGCAGGCTTCATAAGATCGCAAATCGAGCTATTTAAAAATCTGCAAGCTTAAAATTCCGACACATACCTCAAAGAATCTTCTACCAGCTTTGTCGAGAACTCCCTCGAAGTGAAGTCGTGTTTCAGTCGCCTCACCAGACATATTTGACCCAACTTCCTTAATCCACGGCTAAGTCATGAAGTCTTTGAGCCTCAGTCTCGAAACTATCCCGATTACGTTACGTTTAGCTCGCAGAACTTCCCGAAATTTAATGACCCGGAACTACTAAATTTGAATATTAATGTTTTCCACTACGGTATTCGGTTGCGCATTTCACTTACCGAGGGTTCACGAAGATTGGGCGACAGTTTCCGAACCCACGTGGCGGAGGCAGTTGACAGAGGCTGCGCACCGTCACCTTTCTGAAGAGTTTACAAAGAGGAGGGAAAATTTAGTTGTTAGAATGGGAGGTTCGGACAGTAAACTAAATTTCAGGAAAGCCGTCGTTCAGCTGACAACAAAAAAGACGGTGAGCAAAGTGATGAAGATGTATTCTCAGCTGTCTTTTTCGAGATCTTTGGCGGAGGGTTTTGTGGGACTGAACCGGTTGTTAGTCAATGTTCACCTGATAAACTCACCGAAGTCAATTTTGTCGATCGTTTCAGGCTGTCGAAGCGACAGATGACACCTTTTGGGATCAGTTTTGGTCTGAGTCGTCGGCGACTATCAGTGACGTTTTTACTTTGATTCCTGCCTCGGAAATCAGAGCTTTACGAGACGAGAATCCCTCAAATTTGGCGACGCTTTGCTACAAGGTGAGTGTATGTCTTGACACTCCTCAAACTCTTCGTGTTATGAGTGAATTTCAAGTTGTCCAAGAAATCGATATGGCCAGTTTTCGTCTTGATTTCCTTGCTTTCTAATTATTTTGATGGCCTTTGTCTTAATTTACAATACAACAGTAAGCGAAGCCATGAGTTTTGTTGGAGCATGACAGACTAGCTTGCAATTACCAATGTTTTATAATTTCATTAACAACAAACACGAATATTTTTGTTCTCTATAGTTTAGACATGATCGCGAAGAGGTCTGTGTTTTCAGTCGACTAAAATTCAACCATGTTTAATTTCTTACCAAGCAAGGAATATTATTCATAAATCGAGTAAATTATCGAAAGGCCCTAGAAGTGTTTACAAGATATCGAAGGTGACCTTGAGTGTCTAAATCTTCATCTATGATCTTCTGACGTTCATGCTCACAATTTTAGGTTTCAAAATTAACGTTCGAAGCACTTGTCACTAGTGCTATTACTTTAAGCGATAAATTTCTTTCTTCTCGCCTATCGCAGAGGGGAGCAGATATATTTTTTAAGTGATCTTTTGAAGTATACTATGAATTATTTACGCCAACGATTTCGTCTGTTTTATAAAATCTTATTATCTTTATTTTCCATTTGATTGTATACAATCAAATGCCAAAATACCCAGGGTACCCATAGAATCATTTCTCTCACATTCCAGTATTTTGCTGCTGTATAAAAATGAAAAACAAAATGATCAGGCAGCATTCATGGTGTAACTTCGTGAGATAAATGAAATTTTTTTCAACTATGTCAAAAAATTGAATAAATTTAGTTATCACTTATTTTGCGGCAAAACTCATGCATAAATTGCGCCTAGAGTCCTTTATGGTTAACCAAACCTCAGGCATAACTTATCATGTCTTTTAAGGACAAAATCTGTCCTTAGTAATCCTCATGCTATTTTCAGGAAGTATTGACAAATATTGTTTACATATTGATGTCATTTTTAATTTGTATAAACAATTTCAAATTACTGTGGCCTAGACTTCCCAATGGTGCTAATAAACAGATGTTGCATGTACATGTAGAAAAAAAGGCATATTTTTAATTTAACATACAAACAACAAGTCTTAAAAGGATTTGTCATGGTGATCATTTGCTAATCAACTAGAGATATATGTCTGTGCTCCAATTTGAAGCAATATATTCATTATGCAGTTAGCTGAGTGAAAAACATTATTATTGTTTTTGCATTGGTTGTAAGACAACTTTTTTTTTAATGTTACCCTGCACTTGTTTATTTCTATGTATAGTGTGTCGAGAAGCTTCATAATGCCACTTTGACTGGTTGTTCCAACCCTTCTGAACAACTTTCTGGTAAGTTTTTATTTTTATTGATTTGTTTCAAATTTCTTGAAAGATAAAGTCATAATTATAGCTATAGTTTAATCCCTTGGCCTCTTAGAGGGACTTGATCTAATTTCTCCCCACAATACCAACATCAAATCAAACATGTCATGAGAATAAAGGAAATGATCACCAACTACAGAATTTCTTTGTGGTGAAACTAATTCTCCTTGCTAGCACCTTAGGAAATGTATAGAGAACAGTATAGAGAATATGCATACTGATGTCAGGGTGTAAATTGAGGGTTAACAAGGAGTTTTGCTTCTGTTTGGGTGAGTAGGAGATGTAGAGGTCTCTTAACCCATCTCAAAGGGTATAACTCAAATCTAAAGCATTATGATAACCATGGACATTTGATCAAAAACTGCTTAATAATAAAAAAACATTTTGAAATGGGCCAATGGTTGGGACTCTTTTCTCTAAAATTCAAAAGCCTTTTTACTCTGAGTATTTCTGTTGGAAATTATTTTGACACTACCAATTTGAGAGTTGAATGCATTATCATATATTTTACATTTTTATTGTTCACTCTTCTGTTTTGTTTCAGTCCTAAACTGTGTGCGTCTGTTGACACGGTTTGTGCCATACATTTTTGAGGATCCAGATTGGAGAGGGTTCTTCTGGTCCACTGTTCCAGGACAGGAAGTATGCTTTTTTTTTTTCCTTGATACTTTGATTTTCTAAGTAACCCTTAAAGTCCCAGAGGTGATTAACATTAACTTCTCCTTTAAATATCCATATATTATCCAGCAAACAGGTAATGAGAATAGTGAAACTTATCAGGTAAAAGTTGTTATCTTGATCAAATTCTAGTAACTAATTTACAAGGAAATAATATTTGGTGGCCAGTCATATGACTGGCTTTGCTCATGCAATCCTGTAGAAAACCATAGTGAAAGCTGACATGTGTATAGTGGACAGGTTGACATGAGCTGGTCTGCAACAAGCTGTCTAGCCATAATGCATTTATTTGTATGGCTTTGTTGCGAAAAAAGAGAACATTGTTCACTTTTGTTTCAGAAAATGAGTGATAGCAGTGCACAAAAATGAGAAACTAAGACATGTTTTTCAACAAATTATGAGTTTCTTGTTCTGACTGGACAAAATAAAGGAAAGTTTTTATTGTAAAATATTTTTTTTGGTTTTCCCATACTTGCCAGTCTATCATGTCCTGTTCAAGTTAAAACAAACTTTTTGAACTTTTCAAAAGTCAGTCATATGATAAAATGCCTATTGACTGAGTTAGTCAGGCCAGGTGGGAAAATATTTGGGTCTCATTCATGGCACAAAGACCTCACTGTGCCCTCTCTGTACATTATGTCCTTGAGTCAAATATTTTCCTGTCCTGCCCTCTCACTCAGTTTACAAATACATCATGATAATATGCAGAAAATTGTAACCAGGTTTAAAGTAAGGGGCTTTTGATCCAACACCAAAAAAAGTGCTGTATGAATATCCAATAATTATTATAATAAAGTGTATCCTGATATATTTCTCCCACCAGCATCCACAAAAATTAAGAGTCATCAGATGGATGTTATTTGATTTTTGATGACTCTAACAAAACAGTGCTGTCCTTTTTGTAAATTAAAATTTTGCAATTTAAGCAAACCACAGTCCATTGTAAGGGTAAAGTGCTTCAAAAGAGGTTCATATTCAGAGTGAATCTTTGACCATGCCCATGATTACTTACAATCATAGATTATTACCTCTGACTGTGATTATATGAAAATCATGTATGTGAACTGCGTATAAAGATGTGAATATGAAAGCAATCTTCACAATAATGAACACTACTTGAGTAGTAGTGAAAATAAGGCCTCAAAAAAATTCAGGCCTGTATAGGATTTGAACCCATGACCTCTGTGATACTGGTTACAGAGGTCATGGGTTCAAATCCCAAAGAAGCCTTATTTTCACTACTGCTCAAGTAGTGTTCATTACTGCGAAGATTGCTTTTATATTCACATTATTACTTCTCAGTGAAAACTTCATAAAAATGATTGTTAAACAAATTTTTGTTTTGTTTCAGGAGGAAAGTTTTCATGGGGGCGAAGAGGTACAATTACATTTACAACCTTAAAAAATTAAATAGAAAACAAAAGTACCTTGAACCTTTTGATGCCTGCAATACAAGAGTGACTATAATCTAATTTATCTTAACAGTATCACTCATGTATCAAACACAAAGTTCCCCAGAATAAATGAAATGATTGTTAAACAAATTCTCCTCACCTTGCAAAATGTATGAAGAGCAGTATGGGGAATATGCATATTGATGTTAGGGTGTAATAGGTTTAGCTGTTTGATATGTAAATGGTTTTAAATGGCTGTGAACAAGGTAACTCAGGTACCCATCATACCCATTATTGGATTGGTATGGTTGGGTAATTAAGTATTATCAACTGAGTTGATAATTTAAATTGGCCACCGTAAAAAGTTTAAAAGCTGACGTTTCGAGTGCTAGCCCTTTGTCCAGTCACTCTCACCATGGGCTAATGCTTGAAATGTCAACTTTTTAACTCTTTATGGTGGCCATTATACCTTATCAACTCAGTTGATAATACTAAATTACCCTGTTATACTCTCCCACCAACACAGCACCAAAGCTTTTGTAGAAAGTTACCCCCTTTATTCATTTGATATGGTTGGGATTTACCCAGTGAGCAAGTGAGCAAGTTGTTTTACACTGTAGCAGCAAAGCAGGGTTTTAGTCCTGTGATTAATTTGTAGTGCCTTCAAATAGCTGCCAGAAATACCTCTGAGATTTAACTGTTTACACCCTCACATTAGTATGCATATTCTTAATACTGTTCTCTATACATTCCCTAAGGTGCTGACTAGGAGAATTTGTTTAACAATCAATAGCCTCTTCAGTTGGTGATTACTTCCTTAATTCTTACGACCTTAATGTTTGATTCAGGGGTGATATTTTAAGGAGAAATTAGATGCCAGTTACTCTTATGAGTCAAAGGAATAACTTTCTTGAATGATTTTAATCAATGAATCAAATTTAGAAGGAGGATTATTTTAGAATGATGCTGGTTAAATCAATTAAAACCTAATCAATTTATTCTACTTTACAGGCTGCAGAAGCAAGACCCCCACTTGCTCAAACACTTCTCAGTGCAGTTGCAGTAAGTGGTGTAACAGTGTTGTTTATCCTTGAAATTGTTCATCTAAAGGTAAAATTCTAAGAATACTCACAAAGTATTGATCATGCTTTTTTTTTTGTATTTACAGGATCTGTGTTTCTGTCCAGAGTTTACTGTTCATCCTCCAAAAAAAACTGGTCCAGTAAGTTAATCTACCTTGTCTTCCAACATAAGATATGACATGTTTGAAAAATAATTCACTGCGCTAGCACTGTGTAAAATAGTATATTACAGTGTAAGTGCATGTGCCATCATTGTACATTGGTTCAATCAAGATAATCATTAAATAAGCAAAAATTGTCTGATTTGAACTGAGTAGGCACTAATTGAATTACGCTGGGGTAGAAAGCATGTTTTGATGTAAAGCAACATGCCCTTCTGAGGGGGTTAGTGGGCATGCTTCCTCAGAGAAGCTGAAATTTGAAACCCTCTGAAACTTTATTTCTAGCATTCTGAGACATTTTTGAGTGGTAAAGTTCTTTTAGCTTGGCATTTATGTTAGACTCAGTTCAGAAATACTTATTTCCTGTCTTTGATGGCAATTTACTAAGTAAATGGTGCAAAGTGGTCAGATAGCCAGCAGGTTTCTGCTGCCTAGTGGTTTTTTTAGACAACCCTGTTCAGTTGCCTTTGATCTTTTGATTGAACTTTGGAGAGTTACATGTACAGGAAAAACAGCTGGAAATGGTGATTTATGCAAGTGTATTGTAATGTATAATAATATACATATAAACAGAATGTGTTTTAAAAGTACATTTTAATCTCTTTCTTGATTTATTCTCCCTTTCAGGATCAGCCTGAGGATCTGTCTTCAATTGATAGCTGTGAATATATATGGTGAGACATTTGTGCTGTAATCTCCATGAATTGCATAGAGCTTGTTAAGTACACATGTATACACAGAACATGAAATTTTTGAGCTTCTGTTGAGGAATTCGTATTCCTCTGGTATCAGCATACATCGTCCAAAAGTGGAAATTCTATTTAAGAGCACTGAAACTTTTTTAACTTCTCTTATTCTTATCTTCTGTGACCATATGTGAAATTCATATATATGGGGATATAAATGGATGATAGTTAAAACAGGAAATGTGGTAGTCACTGCCCTCCTGAATTAAAATCTGAAATATGTGTCTAAATGGTGTAAATGTCTTCAGTTATGCAAAACACTGGACTCTTATATAGCCTGACATGTATTAAATTGTCTTGTCATGTTATCGCCATGCACAAACACCGAAAGAAACTTAAATTTTTAAGTGCTTTATCCAGTGATACACCCAATGATTGTACAAGTCTACCAGCAGGCAGAGAAAAGTGTGTCCTGCAACACTAGTTTTATGGTTTTTAATTACAGCCTTATTTTATAATCTGGCCAAATAAGTGAGTTTGCATCACACAATTTCCCATGAATAGCAAGGAAAAACCTATTAAACTGTTGGGGATTAAATTTTTACTTACAACAAATTGCTTCCTTGTGATAGGCACCTGTTTACTGGCTAGAGTGGGGAGACTGATTGATTTTTAAAGACTGTTGCTGTATTTTTATGCTAATCGATTGTACTTTAACACAGGGAAGCTGGTGTTGGATTTGCATCATCCCCTCCCAGCAATCCACAGTTTGATTGCAGCAGATCTGAACTTCTAAAATTACTGCTGACTTGTTTTTCTGAAGCAATGTACCTTCCTCCCACAGGTAAGCTGCCAGGGAAAGGTTGACTTTTATTAATCCTTAAAGTCCCATGATCTGATTGTTAATTCTCCCCTCTAGCTACTACACAGTTCCTTGTGAGAAGTTGGTGTTAGATCAAGATAACAATTTCCATCTGATGATTTTGAGTAGTCTGAAAAATAGTATTCTGTTTGCTGAAAAACATAAATCACTTCTCAGTGTTAGAGGGGTAAAAGTGTCAAATTGTGCCCAGTACAATAACGAGTATTTTTTTTTAGTTATATCTGGCCCTGATCATTCGAGGGCTGAATTACTTAATGGTTAAACATGAATCCAGCAGGTAGCAAACAACTTTTTTTTTTCATGTAACCACTAGCTACAGGACTAAAAATTTATAACCATTGGATAGGGCAACACACCTTAGAACAAACTTGGCATATAGTACTCATCATTCTGACAACATGTGCATTTTATAATTCAGATAAGTCTGTTAATGCAAGGGTAACTTGGAGGGAGTATAATTTAAATTCCCCTTTCTCAAAAGATCTTCAATGAGCAGGACTTAGATTTGTACAGTGTATTTGTGGTGGCTGAGAGGTTGATTGTAGTCATTTTTTTATTATTATTCTATGAATAATAATAATAATAATTTTAATTTTGTTTTGTAGCTGAAAATCACTGTAGACCAAATAAATGGCTGTCGTTTTTCTCATCAGCTGGGAATAGGTAAAGGTGTTTGCATTTGTTTATTACTTTCCTCAGTGATAATAAATACTTATTGAAGAAGTGAGATTACTATGAAATAAATGCAAAACTGAATGGGATACAATTTGAAGGTAAATAATTAAGATGTTATAATCTTTTTCCTTGGCTTTGTTTTATCAGACATGCTCTTCCAATATTCACCTCTCTGTTAAATCTTGTGTGCTCGTATGACCCCCTTGGATATGGAGTGCCGTAAGTACAGAAATAGTGTAGTTGTAAAAGTAAACTGTGACCATGCACCCAGGGATTGACATCCTGAACAGGCGAGAACTTTATAATGTGAGGTTTATTTGTTGCACAAAATTTTTTTACTATTACATTAATGTATCATGTAAAAATTTATGTTTCTGTGCTTGTGTATGATGTGGTAGCTTAGTGCTTAAAGCAGCAGTTCACAAGTTATATCAATGAATGTTATTCTCGATATGATGATTGTTTATATTCTCATCACCTTTCTTCTTGAAAGTGTGTTGAAATTGTTGGGAGATTGTATGAAATGATCACTTGTAAGGTTGATGCTCTCTCACAGGTGATCATTTCATAGAGAAACTGGGACAAACTCTGGTGCAATGGGCTACTTGGTTTTTGTGAAGACTTAACCATGTATATTTGTTTATGTGAGAATGTGTGCTTGAATTACTGGATCCAATGGAATTCTTGGGAAATTTAAACTGTTGGTGTTACTTTGTCTGTCCAATTTTCTTTGAAAATGAAAAGGGATTTTGACTAGAAGAGTATAGTAACATTTTTCTTTTATTTTCTAGATATAACCACCTTATGTTTGCTGATTACCGTGAACCTCTGGTGGAGGTTGCTGCTCAATTGCTTGTTGTCCTTTTGGATCATGATTCAATGCAGCCCACCCCAACTACAATGAATGGAACTGATACAGAACACTCTTTTGAGGTAAACTACATATATTTTAAAACAGTTCCCTGCATTTTTCTCTACAATCTACATGTGCATCTATAAATTGTGGCCTGGAGGTTGTTTCAGCTTGAATAATTTATTGTAACTTTCATAGGATTTTACAAATAGTAACTATAAAATGGTAAACAATAAAATGAACTATGAAATAGTAAATAGAAAATAAGTTATAAATCAGACGTTTGGATGATAATGAGTCACAAAATGATCCTCATTAAGAGTTATGATACAGCTGAAGAAATTGCATTTTGTTGCATGTGTTATCCACAGGTCAGAATGAGACATATTTTATTTTCACCCTTTGTGAATAGATTTTCCTCAACAAAGATGCCAGTAAAGTTTTCTTCCCTCCCAACAGATGGCTTGTAGTTCAGTTGGTAGTAGTGACCAACTAATACCTGAGAGCATCTGGTTGAGATCCACTCCAAGTGTTAATTTTTTAAGGATTCTCTTTTTGTAACATCATAAGTTGCAGCTCATACTTAAGGTTTATCTTCAATGTGATAATGAAAAACTATATTTAAATAAGTCCATGTTGAAGTGGATTCATAGATTCTGTTCATGTAAATATTTGTCTAAATGAAAAAATTGTATCTTATTATGTTTGCATTAATTTTTTTTGTTGTTTTTTTGTTTTTAGGAACCTCCAGTTGATAACCTTTTCTGTAATTATTTGTCACGAATACACAGAGAAGAGGTAAAAATATTCATATGGTATTACTGCAGTTTATTCATACAAGAACTTGCAAGTGAAATGTTGGATTTCAAAGTATAAATATCTGTAAAGTAATTTAACCCAGGCTCTGAACAGAAGCCAATTTGTTTGAAGCCATTTCACTTTTTCACTCCCAAGGTCTCATTAGTATTTCTCCTTACTGTCTACTTGACAATTCTTATGATGTGAGTTTGGAGAATTTGATATTGGATCAACCAATATTCCCCTAATTGATATTTTTCTTTATTCTCATCACTTTTGTGCTTGATATTGTACTGATATTATAGGGAGAAACTCTGTCTTGGTCACTCATGGGAGTTACATGTAAGGGGTTAACCTGGTTATAACCACTTTAATTGGTGGCATATACATATGTATACTTATGTTGAATTATTTCATTGCAGGACTTTTACTTTATTCTCCATGGTGTTGCAAATCTACTCAATAACCCTCTTGTTCAAGTATGTAATTCAAGAAATTTATGTATATCGAATTATTTCCCAAACACTTAAGAACCTAAGATATCCTGAGAAGTAGAATGGCCAGAATTTAAGGATAATATACCTTTATTTGCAAGGTTTTTTTTTTTTTGTCACAGTTAAAGGGGACATTGTGGTAAATACTGTCTTTTCTGTTTTCAGACATATCTTCCAAATTCTTGCAAGAAAGTTAGTTTCCATCAAGAACTTCTAGTTCTATTTTGGAAGATGTGTGACCAAAACAAGGTAACCAGAGACTGATTTTGTTTTTATTGCCATCAGTTTGTTGGTTACTTTTTAAAGTGATCACAAGTTAACAGTTCATTCTCTTATAAACAAAAATGTCCAACAGAAATTTCTGTTCTACGTGCTGAAGAGCAGTGATGTGCTGGATATCTTGGTCCCAATTCTTTATCACTTGAATGATGCAAGGTCTGATCAATGTAAGTCGCCCAGCTCAGGGTTTGATCTTTAATACAGTAGGAAAGGTTATATTGCTTTTACATGCAGGAAGCTATTAATTAGTAGTAAATATATCATTCTTCTTTTTCCTTCTTTTTCCAGCTCGTCTAGGTTTGATGCATATAGGAGTGTTCATATTACTGCTTTTAAGTGGAGAAAGAAATTTTGGTAGGTTCAGAGCATGAACAAATTGTTTATTCAGTCATTCATTATGATACTTCCATAACTTTGTGACAACAACAGAGTCAATGAAAATAAATTTAAAATTCCCAATAAAGCAGAAAATTTTTTTAATACCTAGGACGAGTGCTAACATAACTGTCATGATTTCAATTATTTTGTGTCATTATCTCACTGATAGGAGTCCGTCTCAATAAGCCATACTCTGTTAGAGTGCCAATGGACATTCCTGTGTTTACAGGGACCCATGCTGATTTTCTTGTTATTGTAAGTATATTTTGTGTTACCCAGAAATCTTACATATGTCTATTTTTTTAAATCATGCCTACATGAGAGTTATTCATCAGGGTCAGGATGTTCAAAGCTGGGTTAACCCTTTAACTCACAGTGACCAAGACAGAATTTCTCCTTACAATATCAATACAATATGAATCAGACAAGGGATGAGAATAAAGAAAATATCAACTAAGGGACTCTATGTTGATCCAATAGTAAATTCTCCAAAGTAACATCATAAGTATTATATAGCTGACAATAAGGAGAGTTTATAATGAAATCATGGGAGTGATAGGATTAAGATAACCCAGGATTAGTGTGACATTTGATTTCAGATCTGAAAGCTCTAATAAAGGTGAGAACATGCTCCAAAGAGAATAGAGAAAATTATCTCAAACAGGCTTTTGTAAAAAAGGAATTAAAGAAACCTGGATTAATATTTAACCTTGGGTTAGGACTTATCGGTCATTGAACAACTGGGCTCAATTGTGTGGATATGCAGCTTATTAGTGTCTCCCTTTTTTACAGGTGTTCCATAAGATCATTACAAATGGACATCAAAGACTTCAACCACTGTTTGACTGTCTTTTGACAATTATTGTCAATGGTAAGAGTACAGTGATTACTGTTGTTAATAACTGTTGTGTTTAAGTCATGGGATCCATTGGAGCAGGTCCAAAATACAATATGCTTCAAGTGAAAGGTTACAGATTTTTTTTTTCAGTCTGTATCCTTGTAACAGAGATATGTTGGTAAAAACAAATCCTACAAATTAAAAATGGTTTAATTATTGCATGTGATCAGGGCAAGAAAATGAGTTGATTGCAATTATGCTTTAGCAACTTGTTCAGGAACAATGCACTTGGGGTTTATTACAGATATCTATCCAAGGGTCAAACTAAAGTCAATCATCTTCTCACATGTTTTTCACCCCCACGAAACACTGCATTGACATCATACATTTTACACGCCTGCATGGGCAACCCAAAGGTTGGATTTTGCCAAACACACATTTTCATATGTTCAAAAGTTATTTCCAGTTCACATCTAAGTCACTCAAGTTAGTATCATTCTCAGCTGACCCTGTGTACTCTTTTTTCTTTACAGTTTCTCCCTATTTGAAATCCTTATCAATGGTGGCTGCCAATAAATTGCTTCATCTTTTGGAGGTAAGAGCATGCCAATTTTGCTTTTCTTTGCAAGGGTTATTTGGGCTTGGGAACTGAAGTTGAATTTCCAAAGATACTTTGTTGTTTGTGTTATGAAAATGAAAATGAAAATGCTACAGGTAATTGCCCTTTTTTATGATCCCTCATTAACAGCTTAACCTTTATTTCAAACTCGTAGGCTGAATATTTTTTCCATTTTGTTTTTTCAGGCATTTTCCACTCCCTGGTTCCTGTTCTCCAATGCCACCAATCACCATTTAGTGTTTTTCTTGCTGGAGATCTTTAATAACATCATTCAGTATCAATTTGATGGTATGACACTTTCTATAATAAGTTGAATTACGTATCAGTTCTTATGTATGAGCTCTTGGAGGACAGATACATTAATGATGTTTGTAGTTTGCAGTAGAGATCTCTCTTTTCTCCCTCTCTGTTTGGGAGGAATGCAGGTTAATGACCTGAACAATAGCTGGTTATCAAGACAAACTTACATTTTGTCACAAATGTCTGAAGAAATAGTGCCCTTTTTTTCAGGGAAATGTGATTTGAAAAGCTGTGAATCTTTGCACAAACTTTGCTTGAGCCTTTACAGAAACTTCGCAAGAACAAAGAACAAAATTCGCCCATTTCACATTTATTATTTTTGCACAATACTTCCCCATCAATTTTGGTAAAAATATATGAAAAAAGTCATAACAAAAACAAACAAATGATTTTTGCATACTGAATATGTTTCCTGTAACCTTTTTTTAACTGGGTTTCTTTTACTTTAGGAAACTCTCATCTCGTGTATGCAATTATAAGAAAGAGAAATATCTTCCACCAGGTAAGCTCCGTATGAGTTATGGCGTTGAAGTTGTCTTTCGTTTGTTTAAATAATTGTTTAGCTGTTCTGTGCTTTCATACAGTAAAGTTTTTAGTTGCTCATCGTAAACCTATAGTGTACTAATTGTTTTCAGTGTGAACTAACCAATATCAAATGTTGAAAAAATGAGTATTAGTACTTGAGAAAATAGGAAACTAGTGTTGTTGTTGTTTTATTGATTTACAGCATTAGGCTAGAAGTGACTAATATTAAGAGAGAGTCTGAGCAAAGGCAGTGAGTCCATGCTGTTCGAGTTTATCTTTTCACTTGCAATTATTTTTTGACCGTTTTCTCTCCTGAAGTTGGCAAATCTTCCAACCGATCCTGCTACTGTTCAGAAGCCAAGAAGGAGACTTACATCCCAAGGTTCAGACAAGTAAGATTTCTGTGCACAATGTTTTCATTTGTGGAACTGTTCGTGGCTAGAGTAGCCGCTAATTCTCCCTACTGATGTATGATACGTGAACAGCTGTAACCCTTTAACTCCATGAGTGACCTAGACAGAATTTTTTCTGACAATATCAATACAATATCAAGCAGATAAGTGATGAGAACGAAGAGAAATGTCAATTGGGAGATCAGTAGTTGATCCAATACCAAATTCTCCACACTAGAATCATAGTAATTGTGTAGTGGACAGTAATGGAATGTGGGAGTGAAAGGGTTAACCTGTTTTCTCGATGAGTGCATGAATATTTACGCGGGAGTTGGTCACGAAAATGTTGAATTTTCTATCAGGGATGCCCAGACCTCAGGCAGTGAGGGAGAAGAAAAGAAGCCTGGAACGAGTGCTTCAGCGGCCGAGGGTTTACCGGAGATGTCCGCAGACAGTAAGCGAATAAATGTTGCAATAATTTTTGGATCAAAAAAGAAAATGATTGTCAAAATGAAGAGAGCGACAACATATTAACATGGAAAGAGAAGAAATACATAGAAGTAACGATCCAAAGGAAGGAATTAAAATAATGCAGGAATGGAAAAAAAAAATGATACAAATTGCAAACAAGATAGGTCCGTATGTAGTCAATAGTTAGCACTTTGCTTTATTTATATTTAATTTTGAGTGTTGTAAAGCGGACATGATTATTTAGCAGTGCCACAAACTGGACATGCTAACAACAGCTCTTTCTTTTTGTCCTAGTGTCTGTGAAAGAAGTTCGCAATCCTGCCAGTGAATCAGAAACTAGTGATGTAGAAGCACGGTCCCCTGGGGAAGCAACCCCACCCAGTACCCCTGGAACATCCCGCACAGAGAGAAAATCTATTGGACGATCTGTTTCTGTCACAAGCTCAGGGCCATTTGTAGCAACGCCTGAATGGGTGAGTGAATCTTCCACTTTGAAGTTTTTATCAAAACATGAACTCTCTCCAATGGTGATTGCAAAGTTCTTCAAATGTCCGTTCTCAGAATTTGATCTTACATCATCCTCAAAAAGGCCCATCGTGGCACGTACCCACAGTTGTTTTAAGTCGTGAGTGCCCTTCTTTAATCTTAAAATCAAATATATTCTTTAAAAAAATCGTGTGTGGATTTAGTTCCGGTTTTTCTTCATTCTGTAGGTCCAGTCTTGGAAACAGAAGCTTCCACTGCAGACGATAATGAGAATGCTTCAAGTTTTAGTTCCTCAAGTGGAAAAGATTTGCATAGACAAGTAAGTTAATCATCAATGATGAATATTCATGATGTTACTTTCAGTTTTGTATTTTTTTTGTTGTTGTTTTTTTTCGGCTCTGTTTGATGTATTTTTGTTGTTTTGATAGGGGTTTGACGGATGAGTCTGAAATAATCAAGTTTCTTCAGCATGGCACATTGGTCGGTCTTCTACCTGTGCCACATCCAATCTTAATCAGAAAATACCAGGTATGTAAACTTCTGTAACCACTGATGAGTCACGCTTTCTGTTACATTTGGTATCTCGAAGAGTTTGCAAACATTTAGTGTACGCGCGTGGAAGTTTAACTCTTTGACCCTTAAGGGTGACAAGCAACTAATTTCTCCTTACAATTTCTCCATTAAATCAAACATTAAGGTCACGAGAATAAAGGAAATGATCACAAACCAAAGAAGCTCTTGATCGTTAAACACTGAATTCTCCTTGTCACAACCATAGGAAATGTATAGAGAACAGTATGGAGAATATGCATACTGATGTTAGGGTGCTAAGGGTTAACAAGAGGATGAGTATTCAGCTACAGGGTTGTTGAAAAGTTTCGGAAATTTGGGAATTTTTCGCTCGAAAACTTTTTGGTTCGGAAGTAAGTTTTGTGTGAGATCCTTTTAAGGTAGCTGGATCTCACGAAATCCCCCCAGCCAAAAGGTGCTGTTAGTTCTTCAGAGATAATTGCTGTGGTTTTATCCGTCAGGCAGAATTTGATGACACTCTTAAATGTCTATCATTCCGTTACAGGCCAACAGTGGTACTCAGATGTGGTTCCGAACTTATATGTGGGGAATTATTTACCTCAGGTAAACAAAAAAAATAAGTAATCAGCTCTCTAAGGAAAATGTAGAGGTTTAAAACCAAGTGGCAAAGTTTATCCTCGCGTTAAAGCTACATTCACATCTACATTCGCGTTAAGTGGTGTACACTCGCGTTAAGTGGTGTACACTCGCGTTAAGTGGTGTACACTCGCGTTAAGTGGTGTACACTCGCGTTCCGCACGCTGTAAACCCTGTAAGGGGGAAAGGAAAGCAGAAACCTATTAACTACTTTTAATTCAAAAATGAGTTTGGGCGGGAAAATTGACGCGCGCTCGGCAACCTTTGGCGGGAAAATCGAGGCGTGCGAGCCCTCAGTTTTTAAAAAAAAATAAACAGTTATGAAATATTAAAACGGAAAAAAGGTAAAAAATGGAAAAAAAGTTTAGTTCAACAGCCATGACATTCAACTCACTCGCATTCTGTTTTTCAGGAACATTGATCCCCCAATCTGGTATGATACGGATGTCAAACTGTTTGAAATCCAAAGAGTATAAAATTTTGGTCCATCTGTAAGAATTCTCACCGTCGACGTAAAGCAAAAAGGATCAGTTACATTTATAATAATGATTCTGTTATCTTTCATCGATAAAAGGGAGGAATATTTGAAGTCGGCGGCAGTCAAACATAAGTTAATTCTAGTTATAATAATGGACAATTTTGTTCGCGGTTGAATTCCCATTAGAGGCAAATTTGGACTTGCTGAGTCCATAATGATAATTGAGTACTTAAAATTTACTTTCTGATAACGAGTCAGTAATATTTATGAGGTCATCTACCATCTACCAAGGTTCTCTTGACCAAAGCAAGAGCTTAATTTGCAGATATGCAGGTATAAATATTCTTAGTCAGGTTTAAGATGCTACTTTGGGTAAGGGAGAATACCTTATCAGGGCGGAGCTGTTGGTCGTCGAAGTAGGTCTCTCGGATTTGTGTGTAGTTTCGCTCTAGTACCGGTCCCAGTTGTTCAAAGAGCTGATACTAAAATAATGACCGCTATCCAACAGATGAATCGCAGTCAGCGAGGGTCTAGTCGTATAAAGGGCAGATAATGCTATCCAACGGAATAGTGATGGCAAAACGCATAGCGTTATTCAGCGGATAGAGATTTATCCAGTGGATAGCGTTATCCGACCTTCGAACAACCGGGGACAGATATTAACAAAGCGTACTTCGCTATCCACTGAAGAGAGATTTATCCAGTGGAAATAAGGTCTGTGCAATAGGACAGATAATTTTAGAATTTTGTGTGTCCTCCTTTCGTTACATTAGCAGTACTACGCACTATATAATCAGTTCACGACTTGAACTGAGTAGTCCACCCCACCCCCACCCCCTAGGTGGTCACGCCCTTAACAATTGATCCGTTTGCTTCTTTTTGAAACCTTTTCGTTTCCAATATTATTCTCCTTGTTAGCTACCACGCTTTTCTATTTGTGATGGTTCAGATATAATTTTTTTTCCTATATATATATTTAGACTATCTGCTCAATGAAAAATTTCATTCACGTCCCTTGTCTCTGTTTAACACAACATTTATTTTCGCATTTAAGGGGTCCATAAGGTATATATAATAATCTGTACATAATGGATTTTAAATCGTAGGTTTTCGTATAAGGAATCGCTATCAGAGTGGTATACATCTGCAGCAGGATATTATTTGTAGGTTGAATTTGTTAGCCCATAAGTTATTTAAGAGGAGAAAAGGTTACATACTTTAAGAAAATTGAAATTGTACGAAATTATGTTTAGAGTCCAATCTTGATCATTTCCTGGTTCTTTCAACCCTTTAGAGTACATACTAGTGGCAGAGAGAACGAACTTGCTTCAATAAATACGTGGAAATGACTATGTGGGGCTCCTACTTATATGTATCCTTTGCGTTTAACGTGTATCCTCGAACTTCTATGCGTTCCGTGTACGTTTTTGAATCGCCTATCGTGCTGTCCACTTTCCGTGTGTTTCTACACCATCTGTGTTCCGAACTCAATGCGCAAACACGTTTACTTTCTGCGTTCCTACCCGTCTCCTTACGTTGACTGTATTCCCGCGCATTCTTAACGCAAACTTTTCCTCTACGCGTTGCTGCGTAATTGTGCACATTGGTGAGCATTTCCCTGCTTTGATGTGCGTTTTCATACGTTCTTACCTTTGACCACCCATTCTAGGCGCTTTTTTCGTTACCATTTATTCCTGTACAGTTCCAAATCACCCCCTTGTCCTGTCATCCCTTCCTAAAAATTCTTTGAAAAAGAATTTGTCGATGAGTGAGCATTCTCTTGAGGTTACTTTTCTTTCTTTTAAATTAATTCAACAACGTCTACACGGTTGCATTACTGACACCAAAAAAAAAGTTCTAATATAAAAAAAGAAAACAGTGTATGTAGTTTAGGTATGAACCTGTATTCACCTGCTCGCTCTATTCTTGGACTTAATTATTAAAAAGAGGAAATGTGTGTAAGAATACTCAAATGGAAAGAAGAGCGTTCGTCGTGGAGCCCATAGGGGTAGTTTAATATGCACGAGAATGCACTGCCTGCAAAATTTTTCACAGGAAATTACCGGAAAAAAACTTGAGGAGACTTGAATATTCAGATGTAGTAAAACAAAGCATCCTACTTCGTTTTAAAATTGAACGGATCAGACCGAGGAACTCGATGTCGCTTATTCTGAACCCGCCTTTCAAGTCGAAAACTTATTTGAATTACAAATAATTTTGAAAATTAATATTCACGTCATTTTGCGCTCATTCTTGCACGTGGAAAGAATTTATGAGCTTCAAGAATATTTGAACGCCTTTTTTAGCTTCTATGGATTCATGAAACATTTGGACCTCGTTGCCTTGGATCTATATATATATATATATATATGTATCTAATCTGTCCAGGCCGGCGAGTGTTTCTTATGCCGGATCAAGTGGTTCCGATAACTTGTCGAGGATTCATGCTTTTCTCTAAGCCACTTTTCTACAGGTAAATAACCTCTATATGGAACGATACATTTGTATAATGATACAGTGTTCATCTTTCTCGTTATGGCTCTTGTAAATTCAATTTACAGAGTCAAATGTAAGAAGAAAGAGAGTAATACCCATAGCAAATTGGAAAACAAATCCTCGGAGGCAGCCGCCATGACAGTTCTTCTTGGACGTGACTTTATTGGCAACGCAAGAAATTTGTCCCTTATCGTTAGGGTACTTATCGCTTATTTGCTTACTTTTCTTTTCTTTCCTGTAAATTTTGTTTAACGAGCTATTATGATTGTAGAGTGTTGACCTAAAGCGTGTTTTGAATGTACTTGTTCTTTCCATTAGCTTTCAACCCAGCTAAAGAAAGAGTAAATTGAAACGGTAATCCAAAAACGTTATAACAAAACGTCATAATAAATCTGGTGGATTTAAGACCAACTTAAGTTTTAAATGAAGCCGTATCGCTTCGTATCTCTTGATGGCAAACATTGGTATTAAATTACCATGGCGACACTAGGCTTGTCAATTACACATGTAGTTCTCAGTTAAAGGAGCAATATTCAAAGTTAGCTTCGTTATTCCCGAATAATTACACATTTTGTTTTCGAATGCTTGGTAAGTTAGTTCAGTAAAATTTCGTAATGCCTTTGTTCGATGAGAAAATGTCAGCAGAAAATGGGTTTTTTTAAATCCAGATGTTGCAATTGACCTTTGCTATTTTGAACGAAAACCACTTAGGTATGTAGTACGTATTCATAATTTATTAGTTTCTTTTTTTTTCTCCCCAGGACAGTATCAAGACGATAATTAGAACATCTCGTCGGAAAAAGTCACGAAAGGAAAGAAGTACCTGATAATTTCTCACACGGTGAGATAATTGGCTTTTTAAAACAAATAAACTATCTAGGCCTATTTGTTTGTGTTGAACGATTTAACCTAGATTTACCGAATGCTTGCAATTCAAAACTAACTCATTTAACAATGAAGAAAAAACTGCAAACTAAGAAATGGGTAATTCTCTTCACTTTCTGATTAAACGGATCTCCTTCTGATTGAGGTGGCCTGCAGTTGTTTTCAGCAATGTTCTGTTGATGAATTAATTCACCATGAATACTTTTAGTATTTTTTTTGTTTCACGAAAGCTGATAGTGGAAGGACATTTATTTAATCAAATGAGTCATGACAAGATCTTTGTTTCTCAAATTGTCCCTAAGTTTTATCATTAACTGTCTAAGTTTTATTATCAACTGATATACGATGTCATTCTAAAATGATTCATTAAAAATTACGAGCTCAAAAATTTGATGATGTTTGAGCTCTTCAGCTAAGCTACAACCAAAATGAAGAGTATACTCAAGTTATTTTTGACCCTTCAATTGCTTCTGGAGTGTTTGCACGATACAGCCCTCTTTTCTGACGTGATTCAATAAAAATATTGGAGCTTAATTATCAACAATATCCGAGCTCAAACCAGATTAAAATAGTATGCTCCAAAACTTTACGTTTTTATCTCACTGATTTTATAGTTTATCATTTGCTGAAAAAGAACTTTTTTGACGTGATTCCAGAATCATGCATCACAGAGCCTTATTATCAAATGTCTGACTTCTTTGAGACTGGAAGCAAACTGGAATAGCATGCTCCAAAAAATTATTTTTCTCTATGTTTGCGGAATTCTTTCTTACTGATCCCAAAGTGGTTTCATGATTTTTTAATAGGGAACATCGAAAACTACGTACAGAGCTCACTGAGACACTTCCACTCACTCAGAGGACACGTGATCACTATCCTTAATGCTTCAAACAAGAAAGACTATGTTCCAAGTGAAAGACAATATTTATATTCAGAGATACAATACAGAAGAAGCGCATTTCTTACTACAATTGATATTTCAAATAAGAACTAGTATCAAATGCCATAATCGAAGACTGGAAAGTTGTTATTTCAGTCGTGATTTTAAATCGGTTCAATTCAATTAAAGTGCCGTATGAAACCACTTGAAACCCCCATCTTGAAGGAAAACAGAACAGCTTTACGGGCCCGTTAAGCAACCTTCCAACAACGCCCCCCTCCTGCTAACGTCAACCCGTTCGGCCCTACTTACATGTACGGCAGCTATTATTATGGTTTTCTATAGAAGTGGATGCGCGAGGCTGTACGGGTCATATGATAATGTACGTTAGTTTCTTGCGCACTGCTGGGATTCTCTTTATACGGATTTCATTTTACGTTGGTATGTCGCACACTTTTAGGTTGTTATCTTCTTGTTCATAAGTATTCAGTTTTTAGTCATTTTTATTTGAATTTCGTTAGTGTTATTGTTAATTTTTTTCTCATTTCAGTTGAAAGTGGAGGTACAAATGAGAGTCTGAGAACTGGTAGTGTCTCACAAAGAATCGTTGTGTTTACATGCAAGCTATTTGGATGTTTTCTACCAACAACAGAGACAAACTTGATAAGTTTTGTTGTTTATGCTAATCGACAAGACCTGCAGGATAACTCACTGAATCAAATCTTATGTGACTTTGAATTCGTGGACACTGATTTTTCTTTTCTTTTCATAATGAATCGACAAGACTTAAGCTTCAAACAAAGGAGTTTACTGTTTACTGTTTTGCTGTTCAGATATTCTCATCTATTTGTGGTAAATTTTATCCAATCGTCATTTTGTAGGTCGATAAATGTGTGAAAACATCAGTTTGCGATAGGTCAACAGCTGCCATGCAAGATAATTAGGCATATTGTCTCAACATGCGTCGTTATAATTTTTATAAAATGTTTAGAGAAATGCGCGCGCCGTGATTGGTCAGAACGAGTTCATTATATTTCCATAAAGCACGCGCTCGAGAAGTGCGAGAAGCACTCGCCTTCGGCTCTTGTTTCTCTGCACTTCCTCGTGTTCTTAAAAATTCCCAAGTGCTTATATGTCTTATATAACTCAACTATGCACTCGGCGCGTTTTTCATTCTTTAGTAAATGTTGTTTATTTCTTTAACGTGATCTTTAAATTCTGTCGATAAATATATTGATCGGTTGTGTGCTCATCTGCAAAATTCGTCTGTCTGGATTGAAAGTTATCTTTCCAACTTAAATCAAAAATGTGAAATTTTTCCTAAAATTTTTTTTGTATTTTCCTCTTCCAGTTCCTGAGATGATTTGTAACGTTTGAAAAGTAGGTTAAAGGACAATTTGTACGACGGCACTTTTCAACTGATGAATAGGGGAAAGTATTTTATTTAGACGTGTTCTTATATTAGACAGATAGTCGCTCATATTCCCTGTGGTCTGTAGCAAAAAATGGCTATGAATTGTCGTCTTTACGGGGCTCGGTTTTGAACGCATGCGTATTGATGTCATATTGTGAACCGTAACCTTACACTTTCCCTCACTGGAACTTTATTCTCCTTCTCTTCGCAGGTTTCTTAAAAAAATAACCACCTCAAGAATTAAGATCTAAATGAGGCATAAATGAGGATCTGACAGCCCTCTACCCTCCCTCTCGCCGGCTGTAATAAACAGTTACCTTTAGTATTAATAATCTTCGTAATACGCATGTGTATTTGGACAAACGTTCGGTTACACAAAACGCATGCGTTTGACATAAAATTTTTTTACCACAAAGTAAACAACTTTTGCAAATACTTAAGAAAACTGTTTATCAGAGGTGGGTGCGGCGGGGGAGGTCGGATGGGTGAAAATAACACCGTAATAAGACAATTGTAATTACTGTAGGTTAAAGGACAATTCGTACTACTACTTCTGCAATAAAACAATTGTAACAATTGTGTGTTTGCTTATAAGAGGAATGTAATATATTAGAGGAAGAAATTATTATTAATAAATTATTAAGGAATGTAATACATAAGAAGTATA